ATGAGCAGTCGTCCCCTACCTTCTGCCGTGTTGTAGTCCCATCTGGGCCGGGTCAAAGGAAAAGCCGCGTTAATGAGGTCAGGATTTGCAGTTGGCTGGCCGTCATCTCCTGGAACCAGCTTTCTGGCCTCAACTTGGATTCTTTCCCGCTCCTCCGTTGTGAACAGGATTCGGAGGAGCTGTTGACAGTCATCCCAGGTTGGCTGGTGAGTAAACATGACACTGTCTAACAACGAGGTTAGATCTTTGGGATTATCGGAGAACCGAGCATTTTGGGACTTCTAATTGTATAAATCACTAGTGGAAAAAGGCCAATACATGAGACGGGAGAGCCCGGTATCATCGAGCGATCCTATTTCTCTGAGAGGCAGGGCTACGGTGGAGTCAGGGAGTCGGGAAGCTTGGTCCCGCAGTGCGCGGCCTCGCGTTCGGCCGGCCGGCCCCCCCGGGTTACTTTCGCTCTCGGCTGCTTCCGCTTCTCGGTTTCCCTCTACGGAAGCACCACCCTGGGGGACTGGGTCCTGCGGGATAAGGTGCGGATATGGTGGGGGAAGTGTGGGTTCTAACGTTAGGGGGTCCTGGCTGTCTGGCAGCACAGGGGCCGAGGGAGCAGAGGGAGTCCTTTGTCTTGTAGGTCGCATTACTAGGACCTTGCAAGGCTCAAGGATGAATGGAGTTATCCAGGGTGGTGGGTCTTCCACAGGATTTTGCCACACTAGAATATAAGGAATTTGATCAGGATGTCCTGACTGCCCTGGCAGGAAAATCTTAGTTTTTACCTTAGTAATAATAGAGAGACAGAAAGTTCCTTCGGAGGGCCACCCTACGCCGAAAGAGGGCCACTCCGAACGGCAGAAAGTAACTAGCTTTCCCTTCTTTAGTTCTACGCTTAAGTTACGCCCCCGAGCCTTCACATCCTTAAAATTGGTAACAAGGAGTGAGAGCGGCGTGCTCTGGTTGTTGCCCATCTTTGGACTGCTCCTACAAAGAGAAGGAGGGACGAAAATGAGTGTGAAGCAGAGGGGAGTATCCGACAGGTCCGGTCCTGGAAGGGGAAGAAAAGGTTTTATGTTTCGTTTTGGACTTACACTTAACACTTAACAATAACGGACAGACAGTGAGAAACGATGAGCCTTCGCGAGCGCGTGTCGGACTTCCGACCTGAGTCAGACGGGGCAACCAAGGATGGAGGCCCCCAGATGGGCACTGGGGGACGTCTCCCACCAGTCCCGAGTGGCTGTCTTTTAGTGCGTCCGCCAAGACCATGCCACTTATAAAACAGACCAATACAGATTACAGATTACGGATTTCGCGAAATTTCAGGGAGACAGACAGAGACAAAGACAGAGACAGTGACAAAGCCGGCTTACCTACAGATTAATATCCATTGACTTGGGGGTCTGGTGGGCTTGGGGGAAATCCCGGACGAGCCCCCATTTGTTATGCCCAGACCGTTTATTCCCTGAAGAAGACCACCAGAGTCCAGAGTCAAAGCTAAGCAGCAAGGATCTTTATTACAGGTTCGAACCTGGAACTCTCCCTCGCTCGTGAAACGAGACGGGCAGGAGAGCTCCCCCACTGAGCTCCGAGCAGTGTTATATAGTCTAAGAAAAGTGGGCATAGAGTTATTATACAAATCAGATATATGATTGGCTAGTGTTTGAACAAGGCGATTTGGCTAACTATGATTGGTTCCCGCCATTTCTGATATTTTGGTTCAAACTTTGAGGCGGGAGAGCAGGTTTATGGCAGCAAGAGTTTATCTTACTTAAACACGTCTTGTGACCTTGCCTCAGAACTTACAAAATCTCTGGTATGTGCAAAACAAAATCTCTGGTACGTGCAGAAAACCAGGTACTCACAGAACTTACGAAATCTCTGGTATGTGCAAAGATTAGAGAGCAGAACAAGGGTGTAGCGGGTGGGGGGCGGGTACACATCTATCTTTGTGTCCTTTCATTAAGTGAGTGAGACTGGTGACGTCAGCGGTGGGTTGTGGTTGGTGGGGGTGGGCAGAGACTCAGCTCCACTGTTGCAGGCCTAGAGCCTAGAGCAGAAAGAAGGGCAATGGGAATGGGACAAAGAAGAAATGGGAGAGACGTTGTTAAGCTTTGGACATATTTATTTACAAAAACTTTGAATTTCAAAAGTATCATGTGTTCATTTCAGACAAATTACAAAATAAATGATGAAGGGGTGGCCTACCCCTCCACACCTGTGGGCGTTTCTCGTTAGGTGGAACGAGAGACTTGAGAAAAGAAATGAGACACAGAGACAAAGTATAGAGAAAGAAAAAGTGGGCCCAGGGGACCGGCGCTCAGCATACAGAGGACCCACGCCAGCACCGGTCTCTGAGTTCCCTTAGTATTTATTGATAATTATCTTTACCATCTTAAAGATAAGGGAGTGGCAGGACAATAGGATCATTGAAGGGAGAAAATTAGCAGTAAGACATATGGATAAAGATCTCTGTGACATGAATAAGTTCAAAGGAAAATGCTGTGCCTTGATATGCATATGCAAACATCTCCATAAACCTTTTAGCAGCATTGCGCCAGCAAGTCCCGCCAGCAAGTCCCACCTTATGCCGTAAGGCGGTTTTCTCCTATCTCAGTAAACAGAGCGTACAATCGGGTTTTACACCGAGATGTTCCATTGCCCAGGGACGGGCAGGATTTTTAACCAGCAAGCTGCCTTCAGGCACTTGTTTAACAAAGCACATCCTGCACAGCCCAAAATCCATTAAGCCTTGAGTCACCACAGCACATGTCTCTTGCAAGGACAAGGTTGGGGGTAGGGTCACAGATTAACAGCATCTCAAATACAGAACAAAATGGAGTCTCTTATGTCTACTTCTTTCTATATAGACACAGTAACAGGCTGATCTCTCTTTCTTTTCCCCACAAAATGAGGCAAATAAAAAAAGATCAGCACAGTCTCGTTACCCAGAGAAAGCCGATCAGCACAGTCTCGTTACCCAGAGAAAGCCGATCAGCACAGTCTCACTACCCAGAGAAAGCCGATCAGCACAGTCTCACTACCCAGAGAAAGCCGATCAGCACAGTCTCACTACCCAGAGAAAGCCGATCAGCACAGTCTCACTACCCAGAGAAAGCCGATCAGCACAGTCTCGTTACCCAGAGAAAGCCGATCAGCACAGTCTCACTACCCAGAGAAAGCCGATCAGCACAGTCTCACTACCCAGAGAAAGCCGATCAGCACAGTCTCGTTACCCAGAGAAAGCCGATCAGCACAGTCTCGTTACCCAGAGAAAGCCGATCAGCACAGTCTCGTTACCCAGAGAAAGCCGATCAGCACAGTCTCGTTACCCAGAGAAAGCCTTAGTCTTCCAGAGGTTTTCTCTGCATATTCAAGTAGTCCACAAACGTTTTATAAATTAGGGAACATATTCTTCTCCAAACTACTAGTTACTTTTTTTTTATTCTAATAAGCAGTTCCAGCTGTCTTTCCATGTAAAAAAAAAAAAAGGCTATATTTTCACCCTAATTCTAAAAGGTTGCATATTATGTCATCATGTGGTCGGGCCACTCTATTTGAATTCTGCCATTGAAAGGCAGGATAATGAACATGGAGTGGGAAGAGGGAGGTACAGAGGGACCCTGACCACAGTCCCTGGCTGCTTGCCTGGATGCTTCCTTCCATGAACACAGCTCTTGAAGGTCTAGATGACCCTGACCAAACAGACACCTTGACTTCCTTTCCTTTTCCTGGGACAGGCTTCCCTGACTGATGGGGGAGCTCCCATGACAGCAACTTTCAAATGTGTCCTGCATAGACACCATGTAGAGGGCAGACAACAGTGGGGCCAGGCTGGGTGAGGGGTGTGCGACTGGGGAGAGGGGAAAGGGCAATGAAGAGCACAGACCCCTCTCCCCAGCCCCACCATCCGGGGCAGCCCTGAGCCCAACAGCACGGGCACAGTCCAGTGTGAGGAGCAGGGCTAGTCTATGGCGCTCGGTTTTCCTCTCTGTGGGACTTAGGCTCACCTAGCTCAGGGCAGCACAAGTGAGAATTAAACAGAATCCCATGAGTGTTAAGTGAGTGAGATCAGTGACATCAGCGGTTTCCATTAGCCTGAATGAGACAGGAAAAGGGGATCTCATGGAAAGGAGCCCTCAAGAACCCCTAAGGCTTTGGAGAGCTGACAATGCTAATCGCTTGGTGTGGGCCAAATTAAAAACAGACGCGTGGAAGCGGCAGTCCAGCCTGGCAAGGGCCACAGCCACAGGAACCACAGTGCCCACAGGCCTCACCCAGGGTGTCTGGGACCCTCACAGAAGGGCTTCAAGAAGCAGCCTCAGCTTCCCCACCTGTAATATGAGAGGTTGAACTAGAGGGTCTTAAAGCCCCTCCAGCATCAGAAGTTCTGGGAGCTTCCCCAGAATGGCAAGGATATTAAATGTCTTTGGCAGTAGGTCTTCCAGTGTGACTTGGTGCTGGGTTCACTAAGAAGTGAAGGCTCTGGGAGTCACAACCAGGGATGCAACCCAGGTTATAGGTGACACCAACCCGGTGCAACAGCATGACCTCTGTCCTGCTGAAAAGAACCCTGGAGGCCCAGAGCCCCAGGGCTGAGCACAGGGTGCTGGAGGCCCACGGTCCTGGGCTTTGACCCTGGAACCCCCTTTTCCAGCTGGGTGCCCCTTTCCTCCATGGATGAAGGTACTGGCCTCTCCGTGCTCGCTGCCCACCAGTGCCCATGGAGGAGAAGGCATGGACATTCACGAGAGGAAGATTCCTCTCCACCTGAGAAACAGCAGCTCCTGGTGCCGGGGAGCCCACATTCTACCTCTCTCTCACCTTAGTTTCTAGAGTCCCTCCTGCTGGCCAGACAGAAGGACGTGATCCTTAGGGGCCATGTCCTGTTTGCTAGCACAGCCTCTGGCCAGAGTTGGTCCTTCCCCAAGGGGCCTGGGAGAAAGGCCAGGTTTAGAGGCCAGCCGATGGAACCTGGAGACCAGCAAGCACTCTCATTGCAGGAAACAACAGCCACTTGCAGGCTGAGCTCTGCCAGAAGCATTGGCAGGACCTGCCTCCCAGTAAGTGCCACAGCACCACCCAGAACCCCCAGAAGGAGACCAGCAGCATGTGGGGCCTGATGGTGGTTGCCCAGCTGCTGGCTGGCATCGGGACAGTGCCTATTCAGCCATTTGGGATCTCCTATGTGGACGACTTCTCAGAGCCCAGCAACTCGCCCCTGTATATCTGTGAGTCACCGGTTTGAAGAGGGCTTTGGGGAGGGGTGAGGTCCTGATATAGCACTTGATGAGGCCCTGGGGGACTAAACTGAGGTCCCACCCTCTTTGCTTACAACCAGCAAATGAATTCAAAGGCCTGGAGATCAGACAGATTTGGTTTGAATGTCAGCTCTATTACCTCCCAGCTATGTGATCTGAGGCAAGTGGCTGAACCCCAGGGCCCCAGGTTTCTCACCTCTAGAATGAAGCTGATATTATCCGTGCACTGGATGACTGTGGGATACATGAGATGGCGTATGTAACCACTTAGCTGGTGTTGCGCACTGGACAGACCCTAAACCAACAGCAGCTACTGTTGCTGTCTAGTCCTCAGGCACAGGCCAGGACACACATGTCTTCTCTGAGACATCCACTTAGGGGAAGGTTGGCCTCAAAGAAGCCCATGCAAAGCAGATAGCAGATGACCATGTGAATGCCCAAATCCTTCCCTTAGAACAAGCCACTTTGGGCTGGAAATGGTGGCTCATGCCTGTAATTCCAGCACTTTGGGAGGCCGAGGCAGGTGGATTACCTGAGGCCGGGAGTTCGAGACCAGCCTGATCAACATGGAGAAACCCGTCTCTACTTAAAATACAAAATTAGCTGGGCATGGTGGCGCACACCTGTGGTCCCAGCTACTTGGGATGCTGAGGCAGGAGAATCACTTGAATCCTGGAGGCAGAGGTTGCAGTGAGCCAAGATTGTACCATTGCACTCCAGCCTGGGCAACAAGAGTGAAACTCCACCTAAAAAAAAAAAAAAAAAAAATAGAACAAGCCACTTTGAGCATCCTCAGGGCCTATACTCCAGATGAGACAGACCACCCCCACAGGCTCTGTGGCACCATAAGCTCCTCCGAGGGCCCTCAGCATTGTACCCACAGGGAGCATCACCTGGCATTTTTAAATGCCTTGGAGCCTGTTTCCTTCCTGGCAAGCAGGTCTCTTTGGAAGTTGGCTGGAGGTAGAAATAGCCTTGGTTCTATATGTCTTGGAATCTTGAGTGGTTCTGGCCTTGCTGGTGGGAGATGCCATAGGTGTGTGCTTATCAGGCTTGGGGACAGATGGAGTGACATCTCAAGACTCTCCCTCAGCTTGGGAGTTCCCACGGCCAGACTCTCTCCATTTCTCTCAGTCTCCTTCCCCTTACTTCCATTTCCAGCCATCTTATTTGCCATCTCTGTATTTGGACCGGCTTTCGGGTACCTGCTGGGCTCTGTCATGCTGCAGATCTACGTGGACTACGGCAGAGTCAACACAGGTGAGTGTGTGCAGAGGATACCCACTCCCATCCCCAGCTCAATAAAGCAGCCCCCGGCCCCCTCATTCAATCAGAACAGAGAATGAAGCTTCAGATCCAGATGTGCTCTGCCACGTCCTCATTCATCCCTGCAGTCCCTCAGACAGCTAGGAGCAGACAGTGTGTGCCTCCTCTCAGGGCCCACGCTGGCTACTGGGGGGAACAACCTGCTGAAGCAAACTCACTTTCTGTCCTTAAGAAGTTTGGAGACCTAGGGCAGGACCTCAGGTGTTGCCACCACAGTGCTCATGTTGGTGGTGGCATTAAAAATATTTCTATGGTTCTTTGATTCTAAGATATTGCTGGTTATTTTTTAAAAAAAGAAACGATTTAATAAGAGCTCTTTTGAGGAAAAAAGGAAACACCATATAAAATATACATATGGATGATGACTCACATCCAGAGGGTATAACATGGTGTTTGACTGTGTGGGTGCTGGGATGGGACTGCCTGGGTCTCAGCCTGGTTCCATCTCCTACTAGCCAAGTGATCTTAGGCAAGCGACTTTGTCTTTCTGTGCCTCAGCTGCCTCATCTATAAAATGGAGCTAATGATAGTAAAATAAAGTTGTAAAGATCAGAACAAGCCTGATGTATATTAAGAAGTCAACAGTATGAGTTTGTATTCTTCAACAAGTGGTATGGATGAGAAGATATAGTCCCTAGACACTGGCATAAGTTCTGCGATAACCATTCAGGGAGCCAGCCCCAGGATGAATCAAGCAAGGGCTTCCCGCCTTTGTGAGCATGTCCCACACTACCCAGTCTCCCACAAGACGGGGAAGGTCAGCACCATAACAGAGGGACAGGCAAAGTGCTGTAGGGTGGAGAGTGTGGCGAGTGTGTGGGTGGGATACGAAGTTCCAGCTCAGCTGGAGCCGTGGCTGAAAGGCAGGACTGAGCCAGACTCCAGGAAGAGCACCCACACCAGTGCCCTGCACACAGGTCAGGTCACAGATATCTGGCAGGTGCTAGTTGCAACCATGCTGCCAGAGCCTAGACTCCCATCCCTAGGACTGTCAGACCACAGTGCCATCTGCATGGTATCATTTGGCTGTACTTCAAATGAAAGTGGAAAGCCAGGGGGGTGTCTTATATCTCAGAATCAAGCCATCTCTGTCCTTTTGCTGGCACTTCCCGAATTGGTTCCTGGCTCTTGGTTGTCCAAAGAGACCAGCTACTGAGCGCCCAGTCCACTCAGGGCAGTGCCCAGGGATGCTTGTCATGATTTGACTGAACCGTTCTGCCACCTTCTCCTTCCCTTTATGCCTGGATAGTTTCTTTACCCAGAGAAACACAATGGCAGACTTTTACACGTGTGCAAGAGAATTGCCAAGAGAAAGCTGCTCCTTTGGAAGCCAGGCAGCTCACACAGTTGATGGCTGTTTCTTTAGGCTTCTAAGGATTATGGGGCCTCCTTTGTTAGGGATCCATAAAGTTGGGAGGCAGTAGTTTAATGGTTAAGAGGGCAGGTTTGCGTATCAGGAAGACATAGGTTTGAAATTGACCAATGAAATGGCACATACTAGCCTTAACCTGAGGCAAGGGACTTAACCCCTTCTATCCTCAGTTTCTCGACTGGTGAGAAGTGGGCAGACTTGCTAGAAGAACCCAGTGGAAAACAGATGGAAAGCACGTGGTCTAGGGTCTGGCCCATGGTGTGCCCTTGTGAGTGAGAGTCAGCTCCCTTCTTCACTACTCCTACCACGGGCTGGGAGTTGAATAAGGAGGTGAAGGTACTGCTCCCTCCTGCCCAGGGATTTTCTGATGCTCTGCTTCATGTGCAGTGGCCCTGGTCCTCTGGGAAGATGAATGGCTGGGAGAGGGAATGCTGTTTTGACCAAGAATCTAGCTCATGGCTTGCCTCTTCTCCATCCTGGGAAGAAAATCAGTAAAACTCCCTCTGATCAGAGGTTTCTGTTTCCAGTAAGGTGAGATCACGCATTCAACAAACACTTGCACCCTTTGGTTTCTCTTCAGCTGCAGTTAACTTGGTCCCGGGCGACCCCCGATGGATTGGAGCCTGGTGGCTAGGCCTGCTTATTTCTTCAGTCTTCTTGGTTCTCACGTCTTTCCCCTTTTTTTTCTTCCCTCGAGTAATGCCCATAGGAGCAAAGGTAAGGTTCCAAGAGCCCATGACTCTACCTATTGGAGTGTAAGAAAGGGATGTGGGGGTAGAAAATAAATAGAGCTAAAAAGCTACAGCATGTTAAGCAAATCCAGGGTGAAATCTAAACAAATTTCATGATGCAGGACTTCCCAGAGGCTTTGAGAGGTGAGGGTGTTGGTGAATTTCCAAAAGATGGTATCTCCTCCATGTTCCCTTACCATGTCAGCATCTCGAGGGTCAGGAGACCTCCAGGAAACAGTTTGGGAAACACTGAGCTTATCTAAATTGAGCTAAAGAATTAAGAGCCAATAAAAGCCAAGTCTGCGACCTGGTATAGTCAACTTTTACATTTAATAGGGCCTGTCAATGTTTGAACCTGAAAAACTGAGGGATTTCTAGCATTGAAGAGTATGAGGGTGGCTGAGATTGGAGCATATTTTGAGCGGGGGACCTTCTGAGCATCTTCGTCATACCTACTGGGGAAAGGAATGAGGGCAGGATGAGAATGGAGAGCAAGGAAGAGAAGTCTGGGTAGGGGCTTGATGTCAAGCTGAAGGGTCTAAAGATTGTTCTAATTTCATGAAGTTCTGGAGCACTGCAGTGACTGGATGGCTACTTGGGTGGCAATATGGCAGCTAGGTTGAGTTTAGAGGGTAGGGAAGGAATGGAGGCTGGAGATCTGAAGAGGCCAGTGCAGAGACCAGGTGAGAGATGGGGAATGCAGCAATGGTTGTCAGAGAGCTGGGACAGGGCAAGGATAAGGATAGACATTCCTAGGGTGGATGCCCAGAAGGGCTCAGCAGTGAGCTGGCTTGGAGGAGAAGAAGGAGCTAAAGTTTATGCCCAGGCTTCAAGCCTCAAAATAGAGCTCAATGTTTGACAATGAGGTATATAAAATCTAGGCCCAGCCGGGGGAAGAGGGGCAGGGATGGGAGGACCTCAGCTTGTCTTGGGGAAGAATTTCAGAGGTTGGCTGCACATCATGCAGGTGCTGGGGTCAGGCAGGGTTTGAATGCAGCTCTTCTACTTATAAACCAGCTGAGTTGGCCAGGTGTGTAATCTCACACTTTAGGAGGCCGAGGCAGGAGGATTGCTTGAGCCCAGGTTGAGATTGGTGGGTAGGGAAGGAATGAAGTTCAAGACCACCCTGGGCAACATAGCAAGACCCCATCTCTACAAAAAAATATTTATTTTAAAAACTTAGCTGGGCATGGTGTTGAGTGCATGTAGTCCCACCTACTTGGGAGGCTGAGGTGGGAGAATCACTTGAGCCCAGGAGTTCAAGACTGCAGTGAGCTATGACTGCACCACTGCACACCAGCCTGGGTGACAGAGTGAGACCCTGCCTCTAAAAAAATAATTAAAAAAATTAAAAAGCAATAAACTAGCTGAGTCATCTTTGCCAAGTTTCTTTGTTCCTAAGCTTCCTCTTCTTTACAGTGCTCCAGCTAATTAGAGTAGCGATATGGGAAGGAGTTGTGAGGAATGAGACAAAGCATGTGAATACTGGGCACGGGCCCAGCAGGGAGTAAGCACTCAGTGAATGGGAGAGCCTATTCCTGGCAATGAGTTCCCGGCAGGATCCTAATGCTGTCAGAGCCCAGGGGCCTCACATCTGAAAGGTAGTTCAGAGCTGCAGGGCCTTAAGCTGGAGCTGACAAGGTCAGAAGTACGAAGGTTCCCTGGGGTAGTATACCCAAGAAAGTGCAGGTAAAGGTTTAGGACAGAGCCTTGAGCAGCACTCACCTTTAGGCTCAGGAGGAAGCAAGAATCCCAGAGAGGAGATAGAGAGGGGGAGGAGGGTGGGACTGGAAACAGATGGCGTTCTAGACCAGAGTATCCCAGAAGCCAGTATCCCCTGGAATCTGAGCGTAGGGGAGAAGTGTAGCCATGACAGATGGGGGTGAGGAGTGGGGTCCAGGAAAACACCTTTGGCAACAGTCATGGGAAAGTTAGATATGAAATAATATGCCCACAGGTATCGTGGGAGGCATTGACATAGATGTGTTTTGATTGTCGGCCAAAACACCGGGCTCACGGAAATGCAGGTGTTGTTTGCTTCAAGAGAGCATTCTCTGGATGCCCTCCCATGCACACACGCCTGGGGTGGCTCACCTCCACCCAGCCTTGAGCCTCTGAGGCCAGAGACTCCAGGGAAGGGTAGCTGCAGTGAGCCTGAGCCATGAACATTCACCCCTTTTATTGCCTTCAGAGGAATCCTGCCACAGCAGACGAAGCAAGGAAGTTGGAGGAGGCCAAGTCAAGAGGCTCCCTGGTGGATTTCATTAAACGTAACTGACCCTGCAGCCCTGGGTGGGCTGGCACAGTGCAAGGGAGAGGATAATGGCCAGGGGACCCCAGCCCCTGTGGTATTGTATGTGGTAAGGGGCAGTAGGAGCAGATGGCCTGTAACTGGCCCATCCCCTAGGTGTGCCTGCAGCCCAGGGGTTCTGCCAGGGATCCTGGTGACCACTGCTTTGCAGGGACCAGGAGACCCAAACTGCACTGGATCAGTCACGTGGCCACCCCGCGGTCTGGTCCCATGTTCTTCTCCCACTTCCCCTCTTGCCTTCTTGTGGGGTGGCAGGCATGTGAGGAGACTGTTTCCAGTGTTAGTCCTATTTCTATCTGCCTGCCACCTGGTTTCTTTTAGGCACTATGAACATGTGGAGAGGGGGCTCGAGTGGCTGTATGCCCCTAGACTGGCCACAGAACATCCTGGTGCTCAGATTCTGCCCCTTCCTAGAAAAGAGAGTTCCTCAGAAGGAGGGGGCAGGAAGGGGTGCCCCATGCTGGCTGCCACAGAAGCCGGCTCTTGACGATGGTCTGTTCACAGAGTTTCCCCGCATCTTTCTGAGGCTCCTGATGAACCCGCTCTTCGTGCTGGTGGTCCTGGCCCAGTGCACCTTCTCCTCCGTCATTGCTGGCCTCTCCACCTTCCTCAATAAGTTCCTGGAGAAGCAGTATGGCACCTCAGCGGCCTACGCCAACTTCCTCATTGGTGAGTCCAGAGGGTGCTGCAGGAGCCACAGGGCTTGCCTGGGCCAGGAGGCAGGCACTCCAGCCATCCATTCAGGGATGGGTGCAGGCCAGACCGGACACAGGCAGGGGCCAGAGGAGGACTGCCCAGGAGAAAGAATTTTAAGGACAGTTTTCCTGGTTGGCAATCTAGAAAGTTCTTGGCAGATTTCTGACTCCTATCCTTCCAGTCAGGAGTGGGTGGAGGCTGGGGGCTGCCTTCCTCCCTGTAAAGGGGCTGGAAGTCTGACAGCTTCCCAAAGGCCCGGACACCATCAGGGACAACACAGGAAAAGAGGGAAGGTTGAATTTGAGGTTAGACAAAATGCCTCCTGGGTTTTCTCTTCTTCTCCAGGGACCTGAATATATTTGCTTTGGTTAGAGAGTACATGGTTTAGTGATTCTCAACCGAGGCTGCACCAGAGGCTCCTCTGGAGAGCTTTACAAAACACAGATGCCCAGCCCTACCCCAGGCTAATGAAACCAGAATCTCTGGAGGTGGGGCCCAGCATTAGTATTTTTTCAACTGTGTTGAGGACTACAGATGTGGTCCCACCAAGTACCCTAGGAAATCACTGGGCTCAACTCACAGGTGAGTTTAACCATATGGAGTTGGCAAGGTGATCAGTGCATGAGATTTGAGGGTGACTCCCGTGTACCCCCTGGCTGGTCCTTGGCTGTGACTTCACCCCTCAGGCCTTCCATCTCTGACTGGTACATAGGGGTCACCACTCTCGTGTTGCTAACCTCATGTGGTCCCATGCAAAGAGGCCCCAAGGAATGAAAGGTGCTTAATAAATGCATATTCAACCCACATCTCTTAAGCTATAAGAACCCCACTTCTATATTCTTTGTATAGGCAAGGCAATCCTGTCTCAAGATATTTCTCTAGGTGTGCCTGGCAAGCAGTAGATGCTCAATTAATGTCAGCTATTTATATTACAATTTAACATACCAAATGTTCCTTCCTGAAACCATGCTTCCTTCTCAGTGATCCGGCTCACTATTTGTAGCCCACATGCAGTCCCAGGCCTGTGCACCTGGATCACCTGCTTCTTTTCACTTACAGGTGCTGTGAACCTACCTGCTGCAGCCTTGGGGATGCTGTTTGGAGGAATCCTCATGAAGCGCTTTGTTTTCTCTCTGCAAACCATTCCCCGCGTAGCTACCACCATCATCACCATCTCCATGATCCTTTGTGTTCCTCTGTTCTTCATGGGATGCTCCACCCCAACTGTGGCCGAAGTCTACCCCCCTAGGTAATGGGAATAAGGGGCACAGAGATCCCCTTTGCTAAGGCCAGGGCCTAGATCTGGCTGTTATACATCTTCCTTCCTGCTTCCTCAACTCTCTTCTCTGCTGTACACATTTTTTTTTTTTTTTAGACAGATTCTGGTCTTGCTCCATCACCCAGACTGGAGTGCAGTGGCATGATCACTGCAAACTCCACCTCCCAGGTTCAAGTGTTTCTCCACCTCCCAGGTTCAAGGAGTTTGCTCACTGCAAACTCCACCTCCCAGGTTCAAGTGTTTCTCCCAGGTTCAAGCAGTTCTCATGCCTCAGCCTCTCAAGTAGCTGGCCTTACAAGTGTGTACCACCACACCCGGCTAATGTTTGTATTTTTAGTTGAGGTGGGGTTTCACCATGTTGGCCAGGCTGGTCATAAACTCCTGACCTCAAGTGATCTGCCTGCCACAGCCTCCCAAAGTGCTGAAATTATAGGCGTGAGCCACCCCGCCCGGCCCACTTTTGATCTGATCTCTCACGTGGCAACTTAGAAAATCAGGTCTTGAATGGTATGCTCCATTATGAGAAGAGATCAAAGGCTCTTACTGGGCCACCAGCAATCAGGGTTAGAGTTCTGTTTTCTTAAGAAGCACCAAAAACTAATTTGTTTGATTTCAGGATGAATTTGTAGGGCTGTGAGCCACAGGAACCAGGAAATAAGCTATGTTTAGCATCAGCTCTGTGCTGGCTAGAATTTCAGTTTCATTGAGCTGCTGAAGAGAGATGAAAGGAGACTTGAAAAGATCTGGAGAATAATAATGAGAGTGATGGCAGACTTGAAAACTTAGGGCAGGTAAAGTCTGCCTGTGGGTTTGCAGACAGCGATATGGGTCACAGTGTTAACTTGGGCTTTATGTTCAGGAAGAGCTTCAGAGCCCTGTGAGGGGGACGAAGCCAAGCAAGGGGCATTTTATTATTATTTTTCCCGGGTGCCACCTGTCAACAAGCTTTTTTTTAGACTTTGCCTAATAAAGTTGCAACATTTGGAGATGCTGTACCTTTTAGCCCTGGTATTTTCTCTATTTTTTTTTCTTTGAAATGACCTCCTCTGTCTTTGGTGGGTGAAGGAGAGAAGGGGTTTGAGGGAAGGGAGGGTTGCTTGGGGTAGGGAGCTCACCCCTGGTCTGTACGGCACTTCTGCAGGCTGACTGTGGACTGAGAAAAGTCGAGAAGCCTTTGGGCCTTTTGGCAGCGTCCACTGGGAGTTTAGCACACGGCTTTGTCCTCAGACAGGCCTGGACTCTATGCCAGTGCTCCTTACTAGTTGGGGGAGTTACTTACCTTCTCTAAGCTTTGGTTTTCTAATCCACAGAAGGCGAGTAATTCACTGTAGACTCATTGTGATGATTATGCATGTGCCCCCGGGCACAGCGTCTGGCACATGAGATGAACTCTCATTTGTACAGTTATACTAGTGAAATGTCTGGACAGTGGTTTGTCAGCCCCTTTCCCAACCCTCCCTGAAGAAGGTCATGAATGTCAGATACCGGGGAACAGTGAGATCAACCAGTGAAAGCTCTGGTTGAAGCTCAAGGGGATACAGTAACCTAGGCAAGGTCTACATTAAGCCAGGAGACAGAGAGCTAACTAAATCCTGGATTGCCTCAGTGGTCCCAGCCACTGTTTTTCAGGCTGAAGAAGAGGGAAGGCAAATATTGTCTGTGACCTGCCCACTGCAGCTGCCCTTTCTGGTTGGTTGGTTGTCTTGACCCCTACTGTGGCAGGGGATTCACCACTCAGGCCTTCCCAGCGCATAATTAGTGGATTTGGGCTCCTAGTGGCAGAAGAAATGGAGAGATGCCGTGACCACTAACCAGTGGCAAATTCACTGTTGGCTCCACCAGGCATAATCCACATCCCAGGGTGGCACTGGCCCAAAATAAATAAAGATGCACAGACACACTCATCAGGCCAGGAACTCACACTGGGCTGGAGGGTAGGGTTTTTCTTTGGTCTTGCTTTGTTTGACTCCCCATTTCCTCTTTTGCTGGCAGCACATCAAGTTCTATACATCCGCAGCCTCCTGCCTGCCGCAGGGACTGCTCGTGCCCAGATTCTATCTTCCACCCGGTCTGTGGGGACAATGGAATTGAGTACCTCTCCCCTTGCCACGCTGGCTGCAGAAACATCAACATGAGCTCTGCAACCTCCAAGCAATTGGTAAGGGCAGCCAGGGTCCAGAGGCAAGAGGAGCCCCACAGGATCTCGGAGCTCAGTGCATGCCCTCAAAGACTGTTTCTCGGCTCCAGGATAGGCGGGGCTCCACACACACACTCATTACCAGCATCCTGGCCTCCTCTGAGCCACATCCAGCCTCTCTCTACCTCCCTACCCCTGAGGTCATGACCAGATGCCGACAGCCCACAGTCAATTAAAGACTGGCCGACATCCAACAAATTCACATTCTTGAGGCCTAACTGCTCAGAGCAGAAACCAGTCAAAGCACTCCTTCAGCTGAGGCCTTGGAGCCCCATCCTGAAGGATCCTCACGGGCATCTCTGGGTCCTGCAGGCTGGCCGTGGCCCAGATAAATTGAGGGCATTAGCCTTCTGTGACATGGACCTGGAAGGGTAGAGCCAGAAGCAGTAGCTGAGGGCATTTGGTTCAACCCCTCAACTCCCAGGTGTGGCCACATGGCTGGCCTGAAGTCATGCAGCTATTTCGGGCTGACCTGGGACTTGAACGCAGGGCTCTGCCTCAGTTTGGGGCACTTCTATTCAAAGCCATTTATCTTCTGGCCACCAGCCTTCCACTTGGGCAGCCTCCATTCACTGGACTCGCTTGGCAAAGTTCAGTCCATTTTCCTGTGGCTCCACACCTCCTAGGATCAGCCAGCAGCAAACTGACTTGAGTCATTTGTTTAGTTATTCAATAAACAGAACACTGGGCACAGCCGTGAGTGCTGAGGATGTGATAGTGAACCCATCAGACAAGGTCCCTGTTCTCATGGAGTGTGCATTCTATCAAATAAACACACAGGGTAATTCTAGAAAGTAACCCATGCCATGGAAGGACTTAATAGGATGGAGAGTTCCCAGGGGCCTCCCGGAGGGGGTGACATTAGAACTGAACAATCAGAACAGAATTCTATGCACACCAGGAGCAGCATTCCAGCTAAAGGGAGCAGCAAGTACAAGTCCCATGGGCATGAATGTACTGGGCACGCTGTAGGAAAGAAGAGAAAAGGCCAGGCTTGGTGCTGCAGGAGGAGTGTCACGCCCAGCTGGCCAGGGAGCAGGCAGGAGCCAGAGCCAGGCGGGCCAGGCTTAGGAACTGCTGAGCAATGAGAAGACTGTGCAGTTAACGTAAGCTAGGAACATGCCTTATTCCCTTAAGCCTGTATGGAGGAGATGGGCAAGGCTAGTGCCTAGTTACCAACCTCCTCTGAAAGGACAGGGCAAGGCTGCTGCCACTGCCACCTCCGTGGGCAAAGGAGCGTGGCTCCCAGGCAGAGGAAGGACAAGGAACTTGGACAAGATGCTCTTTGAGTTGCCTTCCAGTTGTGTTGGCTTCTGTGGTTTTCTTATCTTTGTTAAGTTACCTCTGAGTCACCTACTTCCAGAAATAATCTTGGCAAGTTTCCCATAACAGCATACGTACCTCAAGACAAAAATCCATTAGCAAAATATCAAGAAAAAAACCAGTAAATTATAAAGAAAAAAGTCTCTATTTAAAAAATCTAGACTGAAGAGAGTAATAGCCATATTGTATATAACTAACTTTGGAGTTTCCTAGGGGCCAAGTGAAGAGGGTGCATAGTTACCACTGTTGGCAGAAGGAAATATACTAGTCCATTAGTTCCAATATTAGTTCTGTAACTGCTTGGACACTGAAATTGTCACAGGCTGGGCCATCTGACAAGGGCAGCGAAGGAAGGTGAAGACCACCAGACAAGGGCAGTGGCCACTAAAGTGAGTTGGACAACAGTATTGAGCCATATGGACTTGCAGACTTGAGACAGGGGCCTCCTCAGGAGTCCCTTCTAGGCAGAAGGAGTTTCTTTCAGGCAGGAGCTCCAGCAAAGGCCTGACAGCATCAGAACTCAGGGAATTCCACTGTGTTCCCGTTGCCCTCCTACTGGTTATGCCTCCCTCTGCAATAAACACACAAACAGCAAAAACAACAATCTGCAAAACCGCCACTGCTGGGCACAGGAGGACTGGCCCAAAGGAGAGCCCTCCTGGGCCCCTGGCTCCAAGCTGGGGGTGGGGGGCCTAGCCTGGCAGTGTTCCCGGGGAATCCAGAGGCAGATGTGACTTCTGGAGGAGCCCAGCCCATCCCAGAAGATGGTTTCTGTTGCCCAAACAGTGACAGAGGTGGGACCCCTGGGCCAGCTTGAAATCCTCACCTGGCCTCCTCAGCCTCACCCAGCTTCCCTGGGAACCAGATCCAGAGAACACAAGGGTTGAAAGCTAAGTCTCCAGGAAGAGCTGGTGCAGACCTCTGAAGTGTGTGAAAGTGAAATAATCACAAAGTTTCCCCTTTTCCCCTCCCCTTCTTCTTCAAGATCTATTTGAACTGCAGCTGTGTGACTGGGGGATCCGCTTCAGCAAAGACAGGATCGTGCCCTGTCCCCTGTGCCCACTTCCTGCTCCCAGCCATCTTCCTCATCTCCTTCGTGTCCCTGATAGCCTGCATCTCCCACAACCCCCTCTACATGATGGTTCTGCGGTGAGTGGCAAACCTCTGGGGGTCTGGGGCGTGGCTTCTCCTTCCCCACAACTCCCTTTGACTTTGCGCCTAGTTGCCTATTTCTCATTTCTCCCCCCTTTCCTCGCCCTCAGAGTCCTTTGAATGACAATGTGCAATGTTCTTTTGCTGAGGGGAAATAATAATAATGGCAACAGTGCTGGGAGCCCTGCCCTAGGAGGCGCTGTGCTGAGCTCCTCATTGCAGGGCCTCATTCAGTCCCACAGCGTCCGTGTGACACAGGCCCTGTTGGTGCCTCCACTCTGAACATTGGAGGTTAAATCACAAGCCTAGGCTGGGCACGGCTCATGCCTGTAACCTCAGCACTTTGGGAGGCCGAGGCAGGCGGATCATCTGAGGTCAGGAGTTCAAGACCAGCCTGGCCAACATGGCAAAACCCCATCTCTACTAAAAATACAAAAATTAGCTGGGTGTGGTGGCCGGTGCCTGTAATCCCAGCTTCTTGGGAGGCTGAGGCAGAAGAATCACTTGAACCTGGGAGGCAGAGGTTGCGGTGAGCCAAGATTATGCCACTGCACTCCAGCCTGTGTGACAGAGTGAGCCTCCGTCTCAAAAAATAATAATAATTTTTAAAAAAATCACTAGTGTAGTATGGCAGAGCCAGTGAATGGCTGAGCCACTTGTTGAAGCCAGGCTGCCTGGCTCCACACCTTGGAAACTCCTGTAGGTTTGCTTATTTTTAAATTCTAAAAGAAATGAGAAGAGCAAAGAGAATTTAGTTGGATGCATAAAAGCAAGGCAGGAAAATGTGGAAAGTTTCAGAGTCAGAGTGAGGGCTATGGAAAAGGATGAAAATGAGAAAATCCCGGTATGATTGGCTCCAGGACCAAGTCCTCAGGTCAGGAAGGGAGTGGCTGGCCAGAGCTGGAGGGGAGGAGCAGGGCGTCCCGTTACAGCTGGCAGCTGGCAGCTGGCAATGAATGCCTCTGAGCTTTTCACTGGGAATGACCTGCTCTTCACCTCACTGGCTGCAAGGAGAAAACAACAGTTGTACCAAATTCACCTAACCCACCCCTGCTTCCCTCCCTCCTGTCCTCACTCACCTCGCAAGTAGAGAGGGCAAAAACACAGGATTTGGACTCCCGGTGCCAGGATCAAAGTCCCTGCTCTGCCACATACTGGCTGTGTTAGGATGTTGCCTAGCCTCATTGAGCCTCAGTCTCCTCATTCATGAAATGATGATAATGATATCGACCTCAAAGGGTTGGTGTCAGGATTACATGGTAAATTGCTTTGCAAATATAAGGTGTTCTATATATTGGTTAATTATCACTATTAATCAAATAACAATAATAATAATAATTAACAGCCAGCTAGGTGTCTATGACCTATTTTCCCCAGAAGGCTCAGAGAAAAGAAAGGAGCAGATGCAGCCACTTGTTGGGATCTGGGATTTTACCGTATTTATAAGTGAGCTATCAAGTTAGCTTGAAAGCTATCAAATCAAATACTATTTCAAGGATGCTGGCAGAAGATGTGAGACTCCTGGGTCAAAGACAAAATACTTTATGACAGCACAGAAAGCACAAAACTTAGGGTGTGTCAGTTGTCCTTGCCCCCCAAATCCTACAGGGGTGACACAGAGAGGCCCAGGTGCACACTTTGTAAGAACACTGAGCATAGAAGAGCCGCCACTTCTACGGTGACCAGTGAGCAATGCTGCTCCTGGTCTTGGAGGAAACGTTAACTCATGCCTCAAGGTTGCTCATTGCAACTACAACTCTGAGAAACGGTGCAGGAAAACAGCAGTCAGGACCTTGCATTTTGAGCTTATTCAGCAAGAAGGTGCAAGGATGCTTGGAACCCACAGTGTGCTGCCTTCCCTGACACCACAGTCACTCCCTTCTCTGCTGCTCCCCATCCTGCACATTCAAAGCACTGACACCGTCACCAGAGACTCTTCAGCAGGCTTCCCTTCTTGCACCTTGGGTCAGATGGACCACAGTGGACCCTCTAGCCCTGACATAAAACTACACAAGGCCATGATGAGGAGATGGGACAGGGTAAGAAAATCTCCCTGGCAAGTCCCTGTGCAGCAGGGAAAAGGGCAATCCCTGTCAAATCTCCTCCCAGAGGACTCCTGTCAAATCCCAGGGACGAGGAAGTCAGGAAGAACAGAGCATCATTTCAACCACAAGATGGGCTTCTCTAGAAAAAGCTCTCCTTTCTAGGTCAAGTAGGGGTAGGAGGTGGAGAGGAGGCCCCCGGATCCCACAACGATTTAAAGATAAATCCCACTGGGAAACATGACAGAATTGATGCTATTTAGTGTGAAGAAGGAGAGGCTTAAAGATGACTTCATAGGCCGGGTGTGGTGGCTCACACCTGTAATCCCAGCACTTTGGGAGGCCGAGGTGGGTGGACCACTTGAGGTCAGGTGTTGAAGACCAGCCTGGGCAACATGGCAAAACCTTGTCTCTACTAAAAATACAAAAGCTAGCCGGGCGTGGTGGCGGGCGCCTGTAGTCCCAGCTACTCGGGAGGCTGAGGCAGGAGAATTGCTTGAACCTGAGAAGCAGAGGTTGCAGTGAGCTAAGACTGAGCCACTGCACTCCAGTCTGGGTGACAGAATGAGACTCTGTCTCAGAAGAAAAAAAATGACTTTGTAGGTGACCCAAGCATTATTTGTATGAGCCCTGGCCCCCATTTAGCCATGGGAACACAAGCTGGAAGTGAAGGCTAGCTGAAAATGTGGAAGGAGAAAGAGAGGTCAGAAAGCCAGCTTTCATTCAGGGCCACATGGGACAGAGACTAGAAGGGGCCCAGGACCTCAATCAAAAGCCAAATTGGGGTGGCCAAGTCCCATTTCATTGAGAATGAGTGGGCCCAGGGCAAGGGCCAAGACAAGGCAGGCATCTATTATGAACTGGACCACTGGAGGGATCTGTAGGCACAACAGGATTTGAGACACTTTATACTGGGGGGCCCCAAGGGGTGCCTCTTCCCCTGCCCCAGTGAGTATTTCTCTCACCGGACCATCCCTCAGGGGCTGGGCAAAGGTCACTTTCCAGTTTGCTAGTGGAACTGTGATGGTGGTGGTGAAACAAACCATAGGTAGAGGCCTGGGGATTACTTCTGAGCTCCCTTCCTCACTGTCCCCTAGTACTGAAAGCTCTTCCCAACAAGCACTCACTGGGAGTGTGTGTGCCCAGAGCACAGAGAGTCCTGGAGTAAAGTCACTCATCAGGTGCCTCTGCTGGCCAGCTGCTGGCTCCCCACCTTGTGTGGGGGTGTCCTCTCCCTCTCTCCACTCCCCAGCTGGGACAGCAGGGCTGTCTCCCGCTCTCTCTGAATCTCCTTCCTTAGCCAAACACATTTTCCTCTCTTGAAGGAAGATGATTAGGGGCAGGACCAGCTACCTAATTTGTAGGACCTATTACAAATGAAAATGTAAAGCCCCTGGCTCAAAAATTAAGAATTTCCAGACAGCTGCAGCAGAGCATTAAGCCAAACATGGAACCTTTCTGAGGGCGGAGTTGTATGCACACACCCAGAGCTAGCCCGGGGTAGGGAATTCTTTTAGCTGTGCACAGAAGCCTGCAGCCCAAGGGCTCTAATTACACTTTGCAGCAGGGCTGTCTTTTACTGGTATAAGACATTCTGTGGGAGTTGTTCAGACCTGCTGCTATCAACACACCCACAGCATCCTTCTCTCCACTCCTAGCCTCTACTGCCCTCTGCTTCTTGAAGGGGGCTCTGGGCAGCCCTGAAAATCACACAGACCAGTGGTTTTCAGTGGTACATCAGAATCTCCTGGAGGTAAAATACAGATTGCTGGGCCCCATCCCCAGACTTTCTGACTCAGTAAGTCCGGGGTGGGCCTGAAAATCTGCATATCTAACAAGCTCCCAGGGGATGCTGATGATCCAGGGACCACGCTTTGAGACCACTGATGTAAAGAACTAGAGCATTCAGCCCAGGTGAACCCAGTCACCAGAGGGCTTGTCAGGCCGCATGAGGGTTGGTTCTGACCTGCTCTGAGGCTGGCTGTCCCTTACCCAAGGGATCGTGCAGCCCTGAATCCTCCCACTGCTGATTTGCTGTCTGTCTTTTCAGTGTGGTGAACCAGGAGGAAAAGTCATTTGCCATCGGGGTGCAGTTCTTGTTGATGCGCTTGCTGGGTAAGTGTCTAAGACCCCTCTTCCCAAAAGTGGCCGCAGGCGATGGGGCATCCGAGGGCTATGGGTGCAAGGTAGCGATGGAGGAAGCACCATCTCATCTCCATGGCAAAGAGAAGCTGTGCATAATCAACAGCAGATGCCAAAATCCATGTGGATGGTTTCCCAGATTGCTTGAGGTTAGGAAAGACTCCATCTATGGCATTCATTCCTAACTAAGTTATGTAAGAAAAATTAAAAGTGAACACAGCTGAGAATACCTAATAGAGTGTTAAAGGCAGGTATTTTTAAATCTTTCTCCCAAAACTCACTGTAGGAACAAAACTTTGCATTCCTGCCAAGTCAGAGCAGCGGCTGAGCCCAGCCCTGGCTTCCTTTCCATTTACAAAATTCACTCCTCCTAAAACTATTCAGCAAAAGTTTCTTCCACGTGGGGCCCTCTGCTGGTGAGTCCTGCCTGCCCTCAAGCAGTCCAGAGCCCACCAGAGGAATGGCGCTGTGCACAAGTGATCAACAGTGCCCTGCGGGAGGGCGAGCTGCTTGAGGCAGCAGGGGTGCTCAAGCTGCCTCAAGCAGGGGTGCCTGGGCGGAGGGCTGGGGGCACAATGCAGGCCCGTTCCTGGACTGCTCACACTGGCTGTTCCTTCTTGACACATCCGTACACTAGATTTAACACAAGGCAGTAATAGAGGGATCCTTGTAATGTCAGGCACACAGAAGTAAAGGGACCTAATTGAACTGAGGATGTATTAATTAAGGGTGCAAACTACAGAGGGGAATGTGGAGACTCCAGCAAGAGGAACTTCAGTTACTATAAGGTGTCATTTCTGACCATAAATGCTGAAATGATGTATAGCCCACTGTGCCTCAGTCAACACCGCACCCTGCGGTGAGAGCAGCAGCTTCCATCCCCATTTTGAGATGTGTTGGTGATATTCCTACTGGGGCCAGGTGAGCGGGAGCCCTTGCTGGGCCCAATCCAACCCCAGGTTGGGAGAAGTGTTTGGATGATGGGAATGAACCAGCTTTTTCAGTGGGATTTCTTGTTCCTCTAGTCCCTGCAGAGCCTCTTTAGACCCTGCTCTTGCTGCCTGCATTATAAACAGAGGAAGCAGGGGGGCAGGATCTACCTGTCCTCCCAGCAGAGGCTCTGTTGTCATCAGAGCTCCTTATTTTCATTTATAACTTAACTTTCTCTAAAACTTCTGCTGGGAAGGAGACCTCACATTCCTCTCAGCCCATCCAGCAACTAGGACAGGCTCTAAAGAGCCCTTTCCTGCTTCCTCCAGCAACCTCGAAAATGGCCTTGAAAACAAGGACTCTCTCGACTCTATCGCACTGCTCGAAGCACTTGCTGCTTTTGTTTTTCCATTTGAGCTCAGATAACTCAATGTGGGACCACAGTGAGAAAACCCAGGCCTGGAGGGGTTCCATGTATCACCCAAGAACACAATCCACTCTTGGGTAGATAAAAGGACTTCCTATTACAGGTTTTTAATTACCCATTGGGATTGGGTCGACAATGTTTCTGGACTTTGTTTCTATGCAGGGAAGTGTCATATGTCACTCTGCCTGGCCAGTTTTCATCCCTCTGTTCACCTGGAGACTTGGGAGTGAGCAGGATTTGAGTGGAGAGGCTTCTTCTTGTAGTTTCCCACTTGTGGGCAGCGCCACAAGTGGAATATTGTCTGTCTTTCTTCTGGAAGCAGTTGCTCACAGGGCCCTAAACAAAGTCTGGGAGGTTATTCTCAGCACCCTGGTTCTGAGAATGGGATGGGCCAGCCTTGGTGTAAATCCTGGACAAGTCCCTCCCCAGTCCAGTAACTGCCTAGAGCTGTAGCTAGTGGTACACTACCCACGCATAGTGTAGGCGTCCAGAATATTTCACAGCCAGGAAGGCACAGCCCCTGCCGAGCCAAATCTTAGCACTCAGCTGCTGGGAAGTTCGGGGGCCCGGAGAAGAAGCTCTGAGAAGCCAGGTATTGGGAGGTCTGCAGAGGGGTATTGTCTAATCCAATAGGGCAGCTTGGTGTGGTGGAAGTGCATGGGATTCGAACCTCCATAAACCAGGGTTCAAAGTCCTGCCTTGACTTCTCTTGGCTATGTTACAGTGTCCCAGCCAAGAACCCCTTCCTCTTCACTAAAAAGTGGGCACCCACACCTCAGGGCCAGTGTGAGGACCTGAGAAGTCGATGCCTGGAGAGCCTCCTGCCACACAGTGGAGGCCCATGTAGCTCCACTCTGAGCTGACCTCAGGAGAACTATGTTGGATGTCTGAGCTGGCATCAAGGTGATCCCTGTGACTTACTCTGCCTTGAAACAATGGCCCAGGTCCCTTTTCTCTTCTAAGCCTTCTGGTGAAAGAGAAATTCAGGCTTCACTGAAAGCTATTCTGCTTTCCAGAGTCACTGTGAGTCCTATGGGTGCAGCAGAGCCATTCTCATATATGTGAACCGTGCAGGGGACTTGGCTCCCACACCCCTGCTGGGCACCTCTGCCTGCAGTTCCATCTGACCAGGGCTTTCCGAACCCTCTTCCAGCCTGGCTGCCATCTCCAGCCCTCTATGGCCTCACCATTGACCACTCCTGCATCCGGTGGAACTCGCTGTGCTTGGGGAGGCGAGGGGCCTGCGCCTACTATGACAACGATGCTCTCCGAGACAGGTGAGGGCCCAACACGCATGTGTGTCCCGGAGCCAGGCCCTGGGCTTGAGATGACAGTAGTCATATGCCCGGTGGCTACTGTGGGGGCTGTCAGGCTTCCGAAGAAGAGAACATGAAGGGCCAGCTCTGCGGCCCTGCCATGGACAGGGAGCAGGGGCTACTATAACAGGCTTTTCAGGGCTCACAGGGAGATGTCCAGGGACTTCCATGACCTGAAAGCGTTTGGAAGGGGCAGCAGCAGAAAGAAAGGGTGGGGATGGCTGCAGCCCAAGGAAGAGGCCATGGCTGTGGAACAATGGGGGCAGCCTCCTGCTGCTCAGAGACAGAGGGGCCATATCATGGCTCCTGGCAGAGGTCCAGGGCAGGCGGACCAACCTGCCTCAATGGGCCATGCCCAGCTGCAGCGCCATTGGGTTCTGCACCCCTTCCAGCCACCTCACCTGCTGCCATTGTCATATGGCCCAGAAACCACAGGAAGGTGGGCTTCAGGGGACTGGGCAGGGGCTGGAAATGGTATGGGAGTGGCAGAGAAAGCCGCAAAAGGGACAGGTCAAGAGGGCAATGAGAAGAGGCCCCTCTCCTTCTGGCTCTGCTTGGTTGACAGGACCCTCCAGGGCTGGCTGGGGCAGCTGGGTCACCTCTGGTCCTCTGGAAAGAGCCGGTGGAGGGATGATGAGCCCCGGATTAGGAGTCCCATGCCTACTCCCTGCCTGCTTCCCTGCAGCTTTGTTCCCTTTTGGGTCAAAGAAATGAGGAAAGTGATCCACACCTGGATGGTGCCCACACCCTTCGTGGGCCAGCATGGGAATGACGTGGCTCTTCCCGGTGGTCCTGGCCCTGGGATGTGGGCTGCAGAGCCCCCTCCCTCACCAGTCCTGCCTCCTCTTGCCCACAGGTACCTGGGCCTGCAGATGGGCTACAAGGCGCTGGGCATGCTGCTACTTTGCTTCATCAGCTGGAGGGTGAAGAAGAACAAGGAGTACAATGTGCAGAAGGCGGCAGGCCTCATCTGACCCCCGCCCGGGCCACTGCCCTGCTCCAGAGAGCGGACCGTGCCTCTTCCACACCTGCCTATATTCACTAATGTTAACACGTCATTTCCTTTTTGTATTTTTAAACAAGAAAGAAAACCCCAGTCCTCATTTGCCTTCCCTACCTCCTCCTCCCAGAGTCCTCCCCACAGTTCCTAAGGGCCACTGTGCACCTGGGCTGCATGGGCCAGAGTTGGGGGGCTGAGTCTTCCCTGGCCCCTTGGAAGGGGCCTCCAGATGCCCAGGCTCACTTCAGTGCTGAGTTCTTCATCGAGGATGCCCACTGAGGCAGCCAGGCCCCTCACCAGCCCTGGGGCGAATCCTAAACAGAGAGAGAAAAGGGTATCTGCCCTTCTTGCCAGGCAGCTCCACGCTCCCGTTGACTGCCCACACCCTGCAGAGTGGCAGGGGTGAGAGGAAGAAGGAAGTGGCTGAGTTATTAATAGCCAGAGCCACTGGGAGACTGGGGAGCCTGGCTGTAGCCCCCTTTGCACCTGGGTTTGGCATCAGCACAGACTATGGGAGGGGCTGGCTCCCTCCCCCTCAGATCGTCACTTCCTATACCTAGAGGCCATTCTGGATGCTGCCATGTTGGGAAGTACAGGCTCTGCCCATTACCTGCACACAGGCACCAGAGCGGGGACTGAGAAACTCCAAGGATGGGTCATCTAAGTGCTGGCCATATGAACCTTGGACTTTCTGTCCTTAGATCCTCACATTTTATCCCTGTCTTTCTGGGGCACATTTCAAACTGAGAAAGCTACAGCATAGTGAAGACCCAAGGAAGGCCTATGAAATGGTCCTGATGCCCAACCTCCCACCCCTTCAATGTGGGGACGCGACCCCTTCATCTCAGAGTAATGGGAAGAACCTCCCACATCTCCCTGGCAGCAGATGAGGTGGCTTCACATGCTCTTCCCTGTCTGGACTTCAGCCCGTATTCCGAGGAGTAGAGAGGCAGAAGAGATGTCAGCAAAGCAAGTGACGAAGCAGAGTGGATGTCCACTGCCACCAAGCTGGAGGGCAAGCTGCGGCCCACAAAACAGAGCCAGTCAAGGGTGGCTTTCCTGGTTTCAGATGTGCTCACACCATCACCATTTTCTCAGCCTCTTCTCGCTGCCTCCAGAGAGGTGGGTGCCTGGGCTGACAGACACCGCTGCTATGTGATAGAGGTTGAGAGACAGAAGCCAACAAAGGAGGCCATTCATCAACAAATATATTTATCGGAGACCGACTATGTGCAAAGCAGCGCTAATACAGGGTTCCCCAAGGAGCTTCCCTGAGCTTTTACCTCACCTCCCTCCATTTACATTAGGGCCTCCTCCCAGGGTGTGCTCGGTGGCAGTGTGGGACTGGGGGCATGGGAGTTGGTGAGAGCAGGAGGAGAGGTGGGGACAGCAAGCAGCCACAGATTGGCATGAAGGATCCTGACCTCACTATCCATGCCATCCATGGCCCCCAGACTGACTCTGCACCTGGCCCTTTGCCAGACAGCTCTGTCTCACCGTGACCTCTGGAACAACTGGGCATGGGTCATGGCCATACATGACCCTTAAGTGCCACTATTCTTGGAAGACCCCCTCCAGAAGCATACTAGAAGCCACCTCTGGAAAGGCCTCATATGGTGATATGCCAAAACATTCATGTCAGTGTCCAAACAATATCCAATGCCATGAGACTGACGTCTTTGTGGAAACCACTGTTACAGACAGGCTTATTTCCAAAGCCACCTCATTTCCAAACATCTCACTCAGGAAGGGAGGCTCAATATAACCTCAGGGGCCAGTTTTAGCATTTGAAATGGTTCTGCTTGGAAAATGATTCCCTGCAACTAACCCTGGTCTTTCCCACAGCAATCTAACCAAATTTGGAAGGCACTGCCTTCAGCTGAGTTTATGAACAATGAATGCCAACCTTCAGGTTCTAGAAGATTATGGTTGCCCTCCCAAACCTTTATTCTATTATGATATTACTATTAAAATATTCTAATTTTGCTATTGAGGTAACTTGGTCCTGAATTTATGTTGTCATATACATCTGTCAGAGAACAGATAGCACCTGCACTTTATTTTATTTTATTTTTATTTTATTTTTGAGATGGAGTCTTGCTCTGTCACCCAGGCTGGAGTGCAGTGGCACAATCTTGGCTCACTGCAACCTCTGCCACCTGGGTTCAAGAGATTCAGCCTCTGCCTCAGCCTCCAGAGTAGCTGGGATTATAGGCCTGCGCCACCACACCTGGCTAATGTTTGTATTTTTAGTAGAGACAAGGTTTCACCATGTTGGCCAGGCTGATCTCAAACTCCTGACCTCAAGTGATCCTCCCACCTCGGACTCCCAAAGTGTTGGGATTACAGGCGCGAGCCACTGCGCTCTGCCAGCACCTGCATCTTGTAAACGGAGAAAGTGCTTATGACATAAACCCCAGGAGCCCATGGCCATGAGGATTAGAGGTAATGCAACTGTCAACCCATTAGCCTGGTATCAGGCAGGTACCAGACACTGCTTATCCCTTCAGTGTAGTTCTGCTGGGCTCTGAGGAGGCCAGATCACTGCTCTTGGGTTTATATCCAGAAGGGGAGTTGGACGCAAACAGCTAAGTCCATGGGACAAAACAGAATAAATACCATAATCATAATTGATCACATGGTCACAACCAGTACCACTACTCCCCAGAAAATCTTTCTTCTCAGCTGTCAGCAGGGAATATAATAGTGTCACTTTCATTTCACTTCTAGAGCAAAGCTTAACTTTCTTGAGTGTGTAACACTCATAGAGGATGTTGTTAAAATGCAAATTCCCAACACCTTCCACCCAGCCCCAGAGTCTACTTCTGTGGGTCTGAGAGGGACCCAGGAATGGCACTTTTAATGGCCCCTCATGAGATTGATGTGGATGGTTCCCAAACCCTGTGAGGTGGACTGTCAGTGCAGTGGAGCCTGGGGGATGCCCATTTGTGCTTAGGCCACTGAGAAATGTAGAGGCTCAATAGGCCTTTGGTATATTCAAAGGTGAGTGAAGGATAACAAGGTGAAGTGATGCCTGTGAAGAGATGCCTGTGAATCTGATTTTTTGGATGACTGCAACCAAGAGTGAGTGGGCATGAAAAACAATCCAAGAGCTCACATTTATATGAGGCTCTTATCAGTACTGAGACATTCTCATTTCACAAGCTTGGATGTGCAAAAAGAAAAAAAAATTACTTATTTCTTTAAATCAGTTATTGATTTCAAACCCCCCATCCTGCTGTCTGGCTGGAAATTCAGTTATCAACCATGATTGGTTCTGGCTCCTGGAGCCATCTGAAAGTCCTTGGATGCCACTTACCCTTGAATCAAGGGTGCCATTGTGGGTCTTTGGTCCCTTTCCCATTTGAGGCTATTTAATGGCCCTGCTTCTCACCTGAGCCTGGAAATCCTACAAAGCCTAGACCCCAGGGTTAGGCCCACCTCCCTGTGCACACTCGCAGCCATGCCCTCTCCCAGCCCCAGTCCTAGGAAGCCCACTCCTCTGCACCACTCCCTCTCTTCACCCAATCCAGCCCCTCACGGGCTGAACAAAAAAGCCAGAAAAGGAAGAGTGTGCAGGAACCTTTTATAGTCCATCCTTCTTTGACGCTTCTTGGAAAAAGTACAAATACAGTGATAACTAAATACCATATCTCTATCAATTATCCTTTGGCCCAAAGCCCTCTGGGGTGATCCTCCATGATGGATGTCCCATTTAAAGGTGAGGAATCTGATTCTGAGGAAGCAACCGTTGTGGACAGCTTCACATAATAGCTGGCCAGGCCTAGACTCAAACCAGGCTGTCCACCTCTCTCTGGTCCAGCCCAATCTCCCCAGCTGAGTCATTCTGAAGAGTCAGCATGGACTAAAATGGTGGAGAGGCCCCTCTTTTCCCACTGATGTTCACTGGCCCATGGGACAGAAGTGGGGGAATCTCTTGAGGGCCAATTAAAGTGGGTAAAGGAGGCAGGAGAACCAGGTAACAGTTCATGTACTTACCTTCTATTCAACAACTATTCATTAAACAGGGCAATTTATCCCTATAGCACCATGAGTTAAAGGAGAGTTGTGGAGAAAAGAGGGAAGGGGTTTGAGAAGAAAAGGCCCTGAGAATCCTGCACACAGGCCTTCAAGGGAACAGCCCCATCTGGTGACTGCTTAGCAGATTCTTGCTCAAGAAACAAAGCCATGTGATTTTCTTCAACCACTCTCAAAGACGGAGAGATAGAGTTAAGCTGGAGTCTGAAGCCAGTCAGTATCAAATCGATATTAAAATACTATATTGTAGCAAATCCAGGAGAAATACATCCTATCTTTCACAACCACAGGAATTAAATACCGGGGAGAAAGGTCCATCTTCTGTCAGTAGCACCAGATACCAGACTCATTATAACCTTTCATCAGAGATTAAATATGGAAACAGATCCTGGGCAAGCCCTTGGCAAATCATAAATGAGAGGGTTTTTCTCCATGACATACCCTGGCCATTCCTCCACTCTCCCAGCCGCATCACGTCTCCAGCCCTGTTACAACTTGACAGCAATAATAATAACTAAAATGTGCACAGATCTTTACAGTTTACCAAGCCATTAACCCATTTAGAACACTTCTTTAATCGGTAAATCAGTGGGGAAGGGCTTGGCTATGCTGTAGTAACAGACCTCTCTAATCTTAGTCACTTGACACAACAAAAGATATCTCACTCACAGAACCTGCGGTGATCTGGGTGACTCTCAGGTCAGTGGCTCAGTAGTGCCCCTCTGCCTGCTCAGGGCCTGGACATATGGCCTCAGAGCCCGCCCCCCCACAGCCAGTGTCTCAGTAACCCAGACTGTTTGGAACCTGAGGTACCTCCATTTCATAATAAGCTGCTATGATCGATGGGGCAGGGGAAGAAAGTCCTGGAAGATCCCGCACTGCTAAGCAATGCTTTGTCCCAAAGTAACACTCTTCACTCTGCTCCCAGTCTAGCTGCCACAAGAGCAGGACAGAATATTCTGTGTGCTCAGAAGAAGGAAAGAGCAGATATGGTTGAGCGCTAAAACCCTCTACTGTGGGTAGTGAATCTAGGTGGACACAGTTGCTCACCAGGACACTTAAACCAGCTTTGCGGGACTGTCGGGGTTGGGAAACACAGTCTGGAAAGATTTCCCAATGGAGGAAGCACCAACTGTGGGTCCCCAAAGCTGAGGAGATGATGCCCAGGCAAGGCCGAGGCATCTGCAGAGGGCTGGGGAGGTGGGAAAGACGATTTGCTCAGAGGAGGCAGAGATGGGGTGGTGGCTGGGAGAGATGCAGGGTCAAGAAAAGGATGGCTTCAGAGGGAAGAGATTTGCTGGGGCAGGGGGCCACAGGATGGGGAGGTTGCAGAGTCCAACAGGACAGCTGACGGAGCGAGACTCTGTGGGCGAGGAGGAGATGGGGTGACTCTCATTGCAGAATCGCACCCGAGTTCCCACCAGCCCTGTGGGGCCGCTATGACTAGTCCCATCCTGCACATGAAGAAAACAAGGCCCCTTCCAGTTGTCCCTCACGCCTCCCTTCATTTGTGTAGAGTACCTGATGTGTATAAGGACAAGAGGTGACAAACACATGGCCCCTACCCTTCAAGGACATACAATCCAGAGCTAGGACAAGACCTTAACACAGGGCAAAGTACCAGTGCTCTGAGTTCATCTGATGAGCGATGGGAGAAGGGGCTTGATACTAGCCATGTGGGAGAGACTGGGTTTCAGTCAAGCGTGCTGGGAAAGACTTTCTGGGCAAAAGGAACAAGCAAAGGTGTGCAAAGGTAAGGAAGCAGGAAAACCTGTGCACATCCTGAGAACTTGCCGGCCAGAGGCCTGTGAAGGAGCACAGCGGTCAGGCAGGAGAGGCAGTCGGATCCAGGCTGAGACCATCCTGGAGGGTCTTGAGGCTGGCTTACCCCAGGCTGTGAGAAGTGGGCTCAGCCTAGTCCTGGCTCCTGGATTAGTGCTCACCTGCCCCTCTGCCCACTCAGGGCCTGAAGGAACGGCCTCAGAGGCCCCACCAACCAGGCTCAGGAAGGCATTCCTAGCTCAGAGTACCCTCCTGGAGTCTCCTGAGCCCCTAGAGAAGGGGCTCCTGAGTGCGTCGCGCCACACCCCGAGGAGCAGAGGCGCAGTCCTTCCGCGTGCTCCCAGCACACTCCACCCCTGCCCAGCATACCCATGGGGCCCCCACCTTGCCCACCTGGGGAGAACGACCCACTCTGCCCCCGCTCAGGGAGAGTTGGTGGCCACTGCTCTATCCCCTCCCTCCCTCCCTTCCTCTTCTACCTTCTCTCTCTTCTCATCTGGGCGCTGGAACCCAAGCGTGAAAGTGAGAGTCAGAAAGTCTGTCTCAAGGCAGAGCGGGGCAGCTAATTTAAAATGGCTTCTACTCCAGCCCCCAGTGTGACTAATCTCCTTCTCTTCGCTCTACAGGTCTATAAATGGGCCACACAGCAGGCACCCCTTTTTAAATCTGTCAAATCCCCAAATCCATTAAAAGTGACTTCAGAGGTCCCAGATAGGGACCAATATTTGTTTAAACCTTTGTCCTCATTACATTTCATGACCGCCAGCTTACAAAAGAGAGACTGGGGGGTCTGGATGAGACACACGCTTTCCCTTGAGTCCACACTGGAAAGGACAGAGGCAGGTGTCACACCGTTCCTCTTTGACCCGAGCCGCTTGAATCCCAGAGTTTCAACAGCTCAGGTGGGTTGAAGGCTCACAATGTACCAGACATCCGAAGCGCTTTACATACATTTGCTCCTTGAATCTTCACGACAGCCCTGTGAGATGCAATTATCATGCCATCCCACAGACAAGGAAACGGGTCCAGGGGACTGCCGTCTCGGCTCCTTTCCTCTGGCTTCCTCAGAGAGGGCGCTAGGTCCCCGCCGGGTGGGCGAGGCGGGGTGGGCGGCCCCTCGCGCCCTGGAGTCTCATTCGGCCACCAGGGGGCGCCGCCCCCCGCCCCGCCCCGGTGCGGCCCGGGGAAGCCAACCGCGGAGGCTCCACGCCCAGCCCGCCACGGGACCCCCTTGCGGCCCCACAGCGAGCCAGGCGGTACTCCCACCACCCAGCTCGCCTCGGACAGTCCGCTTCCCCACCGGGGCGCCCTCCGGCCCGCTGGGCTCCCCGCGCCCACTGCACGCAGGCCTCCCCCTACTCGGGCCACCCCGGAGCCCGGAGACTGAGCCCACTGGCGCCTGCTCACGGGACACGGCCTCGAGGAAACTTCCTGTCTGCCTCCCCGGGGTAAAGCACCGTTTAGTCTGTTTATATTTTCAGCACGAAAGTGTATTAAACACGTTAGAGAACAAGGGGAATAGAGGGTAAGGTGCCACGAGGCACCGAGAGGGCCCGCAGGCACACGCGGCTTCCTCAGGCTCTCTGACCGGCCGTGGGCAGGGTGGTCCCCGGCCGCACTGTGGGGCCATTCGCACCCAGAAGCTGTCAGCCTCCCCACTGCGTCACTGGCACCATCTGGGACCCATTATTAAGCCACTGCAGGGGGCTCAGTAGCCTCTGCTTCCTCCTCCTTCCAAATCCAAAAACCTTCACCAGAGCACCTCCTGGGGGCCTGGCCCTAAGATAGGCGTGCATGTCAGAAAGAAACTGATGTCAGCATTCCGGGCACTGTCTACCCCGGGAAAGACAGGTACCCATCCCATCACAGACTCAGGCACCCGAGCAAGCTGGGCACCAGGCCTAAAGGCGTGAACAAGACAAACAGAAGGCAGATAGACAACCAAGAAAGCATCCAAACTGTGGCTGCAATTGGCCGATCAATTACAGGTGCAATAGTGCCATGAAGGAGAAGTGCAAACAGATGCCTGCACGGAAATGCAGGGGGAAGCGGGTGTATGTGGTGGATTAACAAAGGTGAAAGAGGCCCGTTCCCTAGGGGATTGGAGATCTGGAGCAGAGGTGAACTCTAACTGTGTCTTGAAGGATAGGGTAAGTTCGTTGACAGGGGCCTTAGAGAAGGTGTTCTGGGCGGAGGGGACTACAGGAGTGAAGACTCAGAGGTGAGAAAGCTGGACCAGTGTTTGCCTGGAGGGCAGGGTGTAAGTAGTGCCCCCAGTTGCAAGGTGCCTCAGGCAGAGCGTGGTGGAAGGTGGATTCTAGAGGGAGAGTGTATCATGCACATCTCCTTTAGTAACTAACAGTGGATGATGGGGCATCACTGACAGACTTTTAACAGCAGCAAGATACAACCAGATTTCAGGGTGTAAAAGGCCACTGGGGCTACATGTGTACTTGGAAGAGGAAATCTGGCTGGCAAAAGTCCTTAGGAGGGAGGCCTCCTTGTCATTATGGCCACTGGGATACTAGAGTGGGAGATGTCAGAGCCAAGGGCAGGACCAGCAAGCAGCAGGAGCATCCCAGGCACCCACAGGCTCCTGGCAGCCAGGTTGAGCCAGTGCAGAATGCAGGGTTAGCAAAAGGCCACGCTGGAGCCCATCCTAGCACCAGAACTTGCCTTGTTATAAAACAGGCATTGGAAACTGGCTGAGCCTGGGCCCAGCACAAGGATTCTAGTTGGCTTACAAGATATTTACATGTCTTTAAGTTAGCTCCAAACACCAGGAGAGTTTGACTCGAGTTTTCTCTTGAAAAACCCTGGTGCAGCACTCCAGCCCAAAAACAGTGGACTGGAGCTGAGTAGAGGGCAGTCCTTCAGATGGACCTTCAGATGTCCTCTCGGGGTAGCTGCGGTTCCCACATCATCTGCCTGGCGCTTGTAGGTATTTAAAACTTACATACACACACCCTTAAAGAGTCAAGTTAAAACACCAGAAATCCAGGTGGATGTTGGAACAGACAAGCCCAGAAGGAAAGAAAGGCTGTTTGAGAAATAATGACCAGGGAAGACTGGCCATGCTTGAGGATGGATGGGCAGAAGATGTGAGGAACAAGGGTGATCGCCAGGTGACTGCTTGTGGCCTGCTAGAGAATCAAGTCCAACACTAAGCTCCTCGTGCTCCCCAAACCTCCTTTCACTGACTTTCCTGTCTCAGTTAATGGCATTCCAACCTTAGTTGATTAGACCAAAAACTTGGAGGCAATAGAAAATAAGCTTTAAAAAGACTTTTTAAAATCTACTTTACTGACGTATAATTTATGAACAATGAAAAGCATTAACTTTAAGCCTACTTACTGTTCAATGAGTTTTGACAAATGTATACAATACAACCACCATTTTAATCGAGATATAGAACATTTCCATGACCACCAGAAAATTTCTTGATACCTCTTTCCAGACAATACTATCCCTACCTCCTCACTCCATCCTCCTTCCTTGTGCAAGCAACCAATGATAAGCCTTATTTCACTATAGATTAACTTAACCTGTTCTAGAATCTCATATAATCGGGGTCATATAATACATTCTGTATCTGGTTTCTCTTGTTTTGCATGTTTTTGAGATTCATTCGTGTGGCTATGTGTACAAGTAGTTCAAATCCTTGTCATTGCTGGGCAGTATTTCATTGGATAAATAGATCATCATTTGTTTTTCTGTTCATTTATTTTTTGGCATTTAGGCAACACATGTTTTTCTGTTCATTTGTTTTTTGGCATTTTAGTTGTTTATAATGTTTTTACTATTATGAATAAAACTACTTAAAAATTAAGCAGTACACATTTGTGCACAAGTCTTTCTGTGGACCTATGTTTTCTTTTCTCTTGGGGAAATACTTAGAAGCAAAACTTGCTGGATCACAGGTTATGTGTACATTTAACTTTATAAGAAACTGCCGATTTCCAAAGTCATGCCATTTAATGCTTCCCACTGGTGTGGGAGAAGTCAGTTGCTCTGTATCATTTTGAAAACTTGGCATCATTAGTGCTTTTTAATCAATCATCTTGAGGTTTAATTTACATGCAATAGTATCCATATATTTTTATTTTTATTTTTATTTATTTATTTATTTTTTTTGAGACAGAGTCTCGCTCTGTTGCTCAGGCTGGAGTGCAATGGTGCAATCTCAGCTCACTGAAACCTCAGCCTCCTGGATTCAAGCAATTCTCATGCCTCAGCCTCCCGAGTAGCTGGGATTACAGATGCACACCACCACACCCGGCTCGTTTTTATATTTTTAGTAGAGATGGAATTTTGCCACGTTGGCCAGGCTGGTCTTGAGCTCCTGACCTCAAGTGATCCACCAACCTCGGCCTCCCAAAGTGCTGGGATTACAGGTGTGAGTCCACCGTGCCCAGCCAATATATTTTTAGAATGAGGTCAATTTATTCTGATAAATGTGACATCCATGTGACTTCCATATCCAAATTAAGATATAGAACATTTCCATCTCCCAAATAAGTTCTGTCCTGCTCCTTTATGGTCTCCTCATTACCATACACTTCTCCGCAGGGAACCACTGATCTGCTGTCTATCACGGTAGATTAGTTTTTCCTGTTCTAGAATTTAATGTAAGTGGAATCTTAAGTATGTCCTCTCACCAGAATGCTTTTGAGTGAGATCCATCCATGGTGTTGTATGAATCAGTAGTTGATTCCTTACCCCACATGCAAAATGAATTTTAACTTTAAAAATCATTTTTGGCCAGGCGTGGTGGCTCACGCCTGTAATCCCAGCACTTTGGGAGGCCAAGGCGGGCGAATCACGAGGTCAGAAGATCGAGACCATCCTGGCTAACACGGTGAAACCCTGTCTCTACTAAAAATACAAAAATTAGCTGAGCGTGGTGGTGGGCGCCTGTAGTCTCAGCTACTCGGAAGGCTGAGGCAGGAGAATGGCGTGAACCTGGGGGGTGGAGCTTGCAGTGAGCCAAGATCGTGCCACTGCACTCCAGCCTGGGCGACAGAGTGAGACTCCGTCTCAAAAAAAAAAAAAAAAAATCGTTTTTAAATCTTTACGTTATGAACATCTTTAATAGTCATGAAATCATTATTTCGAATGGCCTAAGCCCATCAGTTTGTGTTTCAAATGATTTTACTACATCTTAAATATCTAATAAAATAGGTAGTTTTAAAAGTCACATATTTGTAGAATGAACCTAGTAAAGGCTTATCATGAAGACTGCCTGTTGAATATTCTTGTTTTCCATTATATCCATAGGTAGTCTCTTAAGTAGGATCAGATTATGACAATCAGATCATCTAAGTTTCTATGAAGGCAAAAATTTAGTGTCTGCTTTTTCAGTTTTCACATAAAAATGCTGATAAGACTATCTGAAAAAGTGAAAATACTACCTTAACTATCCTATGCTTGGTTAATTTTCCACAAGATATTTGTAATGGCCGGGCATGGTGGTTCACACCTGTAATCCCAGCACTTTGGGAGGCCAAGGTTGGTGGTTCACCTGAGGTCAGGAGTTTGAGGCCAGCCTGGCTAACATGGTGAAAGCCTGTCTCTACTAAAATACAAAAATTAGCTGGGCGTGGTGGCAGGCACCTGTAATTCCAGCTACTTGGGAGGCTGAGGCACGAGAATCGCTTGAACTGGAGAAGGCGGAGGTTGCAGTGAGCCAAGATCGCACCACTGCACTACTCTAGCCTGGGCGACAAGAGCAAGACTCAATCTCAAAATAATAATAATAATAATAATAATAATAATAATAATACAGAGAGATCCCTTGTATACTTTGCTTAATTATCCCCAATTGTAACATTTTACAACACTATAACATTGCAGCCAGAATATCGACATTGATGCAATCCATTTATTTTAGATTTCTTCAGCTTTACTTGTACTCATTGGTGTGTGCATATATGTGTGTGTGCCTATAGCTCTACACAATTCTATCACCTGTGTAGCTGCATGTATCCACCACCACAG